TGAACTACTTGTGCAAATTTAAGCTTGTCTGTAAACTCATAACTAACTCAACTTGTTTATAACATTGTCTCAATTACTAAATTATTAGATGCACAGATAAACTCATAGACCAATTTTATTCCATTATCTTAAAATTAATGCTTAATATCAAATGATCAATATATGCAGAGGGATGCCAACAGGGCCATATAGGGCTGGAGAGCCCCTCCCCATCCCCGTCCTTGCGAATCACGGGGATGGGAATCCGAGCGGGGATTTTTGACGGGCAAATTTTGCCCTTCATCATCGTTTCCCGCGAGGATCCCCATTCTCCACCAATTAATATCAGATGGCTTCGACAACACCAGCAAATGATTCCAGCCACAGTAGCAAAGCAGATAGATCTGACAACAACAGAGCAGATAGATCTGGCAACAACAGAGCAGATGCATCCAGTAGTAGCAGAGCAGATGGCTTCGGCAATAGCAATAGAGTAGATGGATCCAACAACAACAGAGTAGATGGCTTCAGCAGCAGCAGAAGAGATGGATTCGGCAGCAACAACAGCAAAGCAAATGTCTTCAGCAGCAGCAGCAGAGCAGATGGATCAGGCAACAACAAAGTAAATGGCTTCAGTAGTAGTAGAGGAGATGGATTCGACAGCAAGCTTCGGTAGCAACAACAGCAGAGGAAACTAAGAAGGTGACATGGGTGAGCCGCAGACAAAGAGATTGAGAGTGAGATCGTGAGTGATGAGAATTAAAATAAATTATGAATAAGGTTAAATGTAGGGGAATGGGTTGGGTTGGATAGTATTGGGTTAAGTTTATTTGTAATTGGCTTGGATTTGGGTTTGGATTTAGGTTTGGGTTTGAGTTTGAGTTTAACGAATAAATTAATTTTAAAATAAAAAAAAAATTTCTGCGGGAATGGGGATTCCCGTGGAGTCCCGCAGGACGGGGAAAATTTCTCGCAAAATTTCACTGGCAAAAATGGTCCTCCTCCCCACCCCACGAGAAAAAATATTTCTCTTGCATGTCCCCATGGCAGGGATCCCCGCGAGACCTACAAGAAACGGGGAGAATTGCCATTCCTAAATTATGTACCATTGGACTCCAACAGTTCCCCATTGTAGACATTCTATCCTTCACAAATGCCCTTTTCTTGAAGGCACATAAAATCCTCCTGTCATCATCTTTCTAGAACAACATAAGTTATCCAAGAGCTGGACCATAAGGCTAGACAGAGTCCGCCCATGCTTCAAAATTTCCTACTTGTGCTTGCCCCTTTCCTTTTTGTACCGTGAAAAGGTTCATTGGTTGACTTTGGTTGGGGCTATGACTTTTTCCAAGTATTCTAAAGTTGAAACAGGCTTACCATATGAATGACTGCATTTCATCTGATTCTATATCATGAACGGTTATAAGCCACCCTTAAATATGTAAAGGAAAATATCCCAATTCCACACCATCTATGGTTCAGCACTTGAACAATCTATTCTTACATCGTCTAGAAAACCATCTCTGCACGTCTAAACTTATGAGTCTTCTGGGGCTAAAATATAGTTCAAAGTCCTAGCTTTGACTCTACTAAATTAAAATTCCCACGTTACGCATTGAAACGCTTGAATTTTTCCACAAGCTCCTTTCGCTTTCCTAAAGCTAGGAAAAGTCACATGAGGAAAATTAACATCAAGTTATAAAATAAAATTATAGAAAAATCACGAATAGTTATGCATGCATAGAACATAAAAGGGACCATATTTACCTGCTGCAAAAACCTTCATTTTTACCCAAAATTTCAAAGTCTAGTTCTCAAACCATGGCTTTCGCTTCTCCATATTTTCTATGTCTCATTCTACTTTTCCTGCTGTCAATTTGTGTTTTAGCTCAAACATCTCAAAATATAACATTGGGCTCCTCATTAACTGCAGCACTTGATAAAAACGATTCCTGGAAATCTCCAGCTGGAGATTTTGCATTTGGATTCCAACAAATAGAAGCTGGAATGTTCTTGCTAGACATATGGCTTGACAAAATACCTGAAAAAACCATTATTTGGTCAGCCAATGGTGGAAATCTAGTACAACAAGGCTCCAAAATTCAACTTACAGCAAATGGCCAATTCAGGCTATGATAACCAAGGAAAGCAAGTGTGGGCAGCAAAATGGCTGGCTCTGTTGTTTCTCATGCAGCTATGCTCCACACTGGGAACTTTGTGCTAGCAAGCCAAGACACCACCACTTTGTGGCAAAGTTTTGATGAGCAGACTGACACTATACTACCCACACAAATATTAAACATAGGCAGCAACAGCCTTGTTGCTTGTTATTTAGAAAGGAACTACTCGAACAAAGGATTTCTGATGCGGTTACAATCAAATGGAAATCTTGTACTTTCTACTGTACATTTCCCACTGCCTTCACCAAACCATTTATATAGTTCTAGTAAGGTTTGGAAAAGGTTATACCTTGGCCCTTGGACATTACAAAGGTCCTTTCTTAGGGGCCAAAAAGCCCATGCCATCATTTTCAAACTCCAATTTTGAACTATTTCTCTCTATTTCCCTCAAGTCTCAATTTATGTCTCCCCTTTTACAATTGTCAAAACCCCAATTTAGAGTAACATATATGATGATATTGGCTGATGATCATGAGGTAATGACTGTATTTAGTTTTTGATATTGACATAATCCACCCTTACATAAGGAAAAATGACGAAAATTGTACATTTACCTCTCTATTTTTAGTTATTATTGAAATGAATTACTATACTCTTTTTTGAATTAAAAATTTCCCATACTTTCTCCATTTAGTTAATAGCCACGTCAACACTTATAGTATATTTTTTTCAACAAGTTGTCAAGGGACGAGCTTTTATGGGAGAAGGGGAATGCACCTCAAGCTGGCAGGTGCCAGTTGACCCGAAGGGTCAGGTGCAACACTTATAGTATATTTAGTTTGAGGGAAAAGGAGAAAAGAGAAAAAGAAGATTTTTTAATCTATCAGACTGTAATATTTAAAAAAACAATGATACAATGCATTCGTTAATTCAATAACTAACGAGATAGATTGTATTAAAAACATTTAAACCAGCAGTTTGGAATAAAATGGGGAAATACTTGTCCTTGTCATTTAGATTGCATTCCTTTGTTTATGTCTCCAAGCATGCTCATTTGTAGTAATTGAAAGTATAACTGTAGAAAAACCTCAAATTTTGTTTTGCTCAGCTGAGGTCTTTCCGATTGATATGAAACTGGTGCTGTTGGCGTGGATCAACAATCGTTGGCAGAGATCAGCAGTTGCTGGCATGGATTGGCAGTTGCAGATAGAGATTGGCAGTCACTAGTGTGGATCACAGTCGTGGGAAGAGATCGACAGTCGCAAGTGTGGATCAGCAGCCACGGGCAGTGATCAGCAGTCACTGGTAGGGATCAGCAACAGACATGCGGAGAAGCTACTCTTCTTCTACCAATCTTGGAGCTTTCTTTTCCACTTGATAACCATCGACGTCTCTTCAAGCATTTCCATTCCCAAGTGTGAAGGGATTTTACTCTGATTTTGTTTACAGATTATGTTTAGAATCCCCCAAATTTATGTTACAGAGAATGGGTTGGATAAGCGAAGATAACTTCTAAATTGCTGTTAAACAGTATTAAATTATTTATTTACAATTAAATAAAAAGGGGAACATGTATGTGTCAATTCTAAATGCATTTATATTAATTTTTTATTTAAAATATTATAATTTAATTAATTAAAGAATGCTTTTCTTTTTTTACTTTCCTTTTTCCTTAACTCAAATATATTATTAATTAATAAAAAAACAAAAAAAAATGTAATTTGTAGAATTGAGGCGCAAAGTGCTAAAAATAATTTGGAAACCAAAAGCATTTAATATACAAAATTTGGAGACTAAAATTAGTATTTAACCATTTTTGGCATAAACAACACGAAGAAAATCGACCAGGTGGAAGATTTTTTCTTTTAAGGCTTTTGTGTTGCACAATCAAAAATATCTTTTTTCAATTTCCAAGCAATTTAAATTGTGAAAATATTTAAATATTTTTATTAAAATTTATTAAGAGTGTTTTATTATTTTTATATTCAAACTACTTTTTTTATTTATTTTTAA